TCACACACAACAGCTACTCATGTGCCCCTCCTCCCAACAAAAAGTCTCTACAAAACTCAGGTTAGTTAAGAGAGTCTTTTCTTTACCTCCTGTCTCTACAGATTTGCCCAACAGACAAACAGCCAATTGAAAGAGCATCTCTTTTGTTCCCAAACTGTAGTTGGGATGGAAAAAAAAAATAAATAAAACCCAAAATGCCCAGAAGCTTTGGTTCTGGAATTAATCTCAGTTTCATAAAAGCTGCTCCCGGCCTTGGGAATTAAGCGTTAAGGCCCAGGGGGTGGGGATGAACAGTATTTCATCACTGCCTTTAGCTTTGACTTCTGGGAGTTATTTCAGACTCATGAAAACAAAGACTTATAAAAAGGGGGAGGGGCTACTGAAATCCAGAGACTGAACTCTGACAGGCAGGAAAGCATGACATTTCTTGAAAGGTTTTAGGAAAACCTCAGTGTCCTCAGGATAGGGGGGTTTGAGCCAGGCGCTGGGATTAGCACTTTAAAGGCATCATTTCATAAAAACCCTCCCAACCCCGTGATGTGGGGACCTCTGTCCTTCCCACTCTGACAGTGGGAGACCGAGGTTCCAGGGGAAGTGGCAAGCTCGCTGGCAGCTCCTGGACTGGTTACTGCGCAGTCACTACCAGGCCACACGGCCTCCATAATCATTAGCAGATGCTCCTTCATGTCCTGTAAGGGTTGAACATTCCTACAGGAAGACAATTCTCCAGAACTTCAAGGCTCTGGAGGGGAGAAGGAAAACTGTCATCAGTCTCCTTTGGGTTGGCTGGCACATGTTCCCTCCCCTTTCCTCAAAGCCTCTGATGGCCTCTGCCCGCCACCAGCCAGAACGGCGCTCAGAGCGCAGGTTCTTTCTGATAAACACGGCCCCACCCGACTTTTGGCTGCTGAGAAGTGCTGCAGATGGGAGCACTGCCAGCCGCCAGGCGCTGATAGCACACACGATCTACTCTCGACAGCTCCAAGTGCCAGCCAACATCTGAGAGAGGCTGGTGACGGGAAAGCCCCCTTCATTTCCCACCCTTGACACTGGGCCCAACCAAGCTTAATTACACCCCATCTGTCCATTCACCAGGACCTGGCGCAGCCATCCCCGTTGAGGGCGCTTTTCTTTACAACCTCTGTTTTGGCAAAAGGCCTTTTGGCCAAAAAGGAAAAAGAAAAAGGCAGCCAGACTTCCAGCTACAGAACAGCCAGCATCTACTGCAAGACAATGAGAGGGACAAAATATTCAGACACAACAGGCAACTTCCTGTTAGCCAGCCCAGCGGTTAGTTTTTAACTTTCCAGAGTTAGAATCTTACTTGGACAATTTTTTTTCTTTTATCTCAGTAAAAGGAAATATCTTTAAGCATTGTGAGCCATGCGTTTTTCTTCCTAACCCTGGAGGAACCTAAAGAAGCTAAAACAAACGAATTTATGAGGGGGTGACTTGCAAGGAATGGAAACTTTTCAGACATTCATTTCTTTGTGAAATATCACCTAAAGTACCTGTGACATGTCAGGCACTGCCCAGGATGCATATAACATTCTACATCCCCCAGTGTCTGTACTTAGATAAAGTGTTTTCACATACTTGCGTGAGTGTGTGTGTGTTTGTGTGTGATTCCCCCCCAAACATTTATTAAAGTACAAAAGGCTGTATCAGAAGGGGGAGGAAGGTTTGAGGAATGAGCCAAAGATCTTGTTCACAAATTGCTCACACTGTTTCGAGTGATGCCTGTTTTCCTTCATTTGATAAATAATATTAATAATAAACACTAGATTGTGTTTACTTTGTACCAGGCACTGCTGTGAGTCCTTTGAAAATATTAATGCATATAATCTTCACAACAACCATGTGAGATAGGCACTACTGTCATCCTCACTTGACAGAAGAGGATCCTGGAATCCCAGAGAGGTTGAGTAATTTACAGAGGATCACACAGGGATTACCTGTCAGAGCTGGGATCCAAACCCGCTGAGCTATGTTCCTCACTTATTCAGGAGGGTCTGCTCTGCGTTAGGCACTGCTCTAAGCGTGGGGGACAGAGCAATGAAGGAAACAGACAAACCCCACCCTCAGGGAGCCTACAGTCTAGTGGGAGAGGAGGGACAATAACAGAGAAGGAAAGTATCAGGGCTGCTAGAGGTGACAAGTGCTCTGGAGATACACCAAGGAGTGGGGGCAGACAGGTAGGACTGCGGGAGGGATGCTGCCAGTTTAGAGAAGGTCATCAGGGAAGGGCTCCCTGAAGAGGCAGCATGTGAGAACTGCTGGAGACAAGGAGGACAGGGGGGCTCAGGGAGAGCAAGTCCCTTGCCTAAGGTTTCCCTCCTGTAAGTGGTAAGTGTAGGCAGGCTGGGCTGCTCTGCCGGGCGACATGACATTGAATCAGGTTAAGTGCAAAAGGGAGGTTTCTCCTGTGGCTCTACGTCCTCCCTCCCCGTTAGAGCAGACGCTGAAGGCAGAGGTGGGCTGTCTCTCTTCCGGCACATTTGGAGACCCCAGCTGAGCACTGTACTCCCTCCTCCCAGAGACCAGAGACGCGGTGCCTGTGGGTAGCCAGGACAGCCAAGCCCCAGGGGAGGCCTCCCTCCACCTCCTCCCAGGCCCCGCTGAGGAACTGTTTTCTCAGGGAGATGAGTTTTTCGGTCCTAATTTCCTGTTAGGTTCTGATCCCACTTGGATCCCGCCCATCTGCCAGAAAGCAGGAGAAACAAAGCACAGCTTGTGGGGCCCTGTGATTTTATATATCTACTGTGATGATAATAACAAAGTTAACATTAATTTAGAATGAACCAGGTGCCAGCTATGCACGTTACCTCGTTTTACACTCACACTCTATGAAATGTGAATTATCAATATCCCATTTTACAGATGAGGAAACCGAAACACAGAGAAGTGAGGGAATTTGATGAAGGCCACAGAACTAGTGAGGAGAGACACGAATACGGGGAGTCTGAAACCACACTCATCATCACTGTATACACATCTCTCTCTCTCTCTCTCTCTCTCTCTCACACACACACATGCAAACACTGGCCAGGGCCCTGGCTAGGGACAAGGCTGATGTGGCTGAGGGGATGGACAAGCAAGTCAGGAGATCATTCCAGATGATGAGTGTGGAGAGGATCCACACCCATGGGCCTGAGGGGGGCCAGTGGAGGCACCCAAGGCATCACTGGTAGTCAGGGAAGGCTTCTTGGAGGAAGCGACAGCTGGGCTGAGCCATGAAGAATCACTAGTAGGCAGCTGGGTGTGTGCGCAGGATGCCAGACCCGTGAGGATCCCCAAACTGGGCTCAGGATTTAGAGACAAGATCTACAGGCTGCTCATGTGCTGGGAGAGCAGAAGGCAGGGAAGGAAGCTTCTCCCATCTGCGTGGGAGGCATGGTAAGGGCATGCCTCCGACAAATCCCCACAGAACGTTCAGGAAGCGCGGGCTCTGCTGGCACTGTGCTCCAGCATGCATCAGCTCATGGAATTGTCCCCCAAACTCTCACTGGGAAGAGACCCCTGAAAGGTCAGCAAACAGGCTCAGAGGCCTTCAGTGCCTGGGGTGCGGTCACACCGCTGGGAGCGGAGGGGCCCGGATCTGACCCAGGACTGCAGGCGGCCAAGCTTGAGGCACTCCTGCAGGAAGCTGGGTTCTGCGTGTCCCAACTTGTTAGCCCTGTATCTCCAGACTCCACCACTTAATTACTGTTTTTCTTTAAAGAAACCTACTTAAAAAAAAACAACTGTAATAAATGTTTTTTTTAATCAAAGGAAAGCCTGTATTACCATTCTGAATGGAAACCAGTTTTCACTTAACACGCACAGAAGGCACCCGAAATGAAATACGTTGAACGAAACAACACTGTGGTTTCTGGGCTGAGTCCTGCCTGAAGTCCGACGGGGAGGCCTGCTCTCTGGTTAGATAAAAAGGGAGGAGCAGCAGGTGTTGGGAGGCGTTCAAGACAGCAGCACCCCCGGCGCGTTTCTCCTGGGCAAAGTGAGGAGGCTCTGCAGGCCAGGTGAGGACGTGAACACCAAGCCCACCCACAATTCTGTCGGCTGCCGCCACCGTACCGGCCGGCGCTTTGGGAACCTGGGGCTCCGCAGGAGACTGTGCGACCCTGGGCAGATCACCATACCTCCCGGAGCCTCAGTTTCTCCGGCTGTCAATTGGGAGGATCTTCCTTAGCTCGTAGAGATCTGGGGCCTGGGGACCCTGGAGGTGCTCGGTGTCGGGCAGCTGCGCGTGCACAGCTGTCCTTCGGCGGCGGTGGACCGAGGACCGGGACGCCCGGGGACCGCGGTGGGGGTGGGGAGGCTCACCTGGCGGCCGCGGCCGTCCCCGCCGGCAGCGCGCACCAGCGGGGCGTCTGGCCCGGGCCGGAGCAGCGGCAGGAACAGGGGCGGCGGGGAGCAAGGGGCGGCGGCGCTGAGGAGCCAGGCGGCGCGAGGCCGGACCCGGGCGCCCGCCCTGCCCGCGGGGCCCAGCAGCACCAGCAGCCCGGCCATGGTGCGTGCAGAGGCGCTGCGGACCGGAGGGGGAGCCAGCCTGTGGGCGGGGCCCGCCGGAGAGCCGGAGCAGCGTCGGCGGGGCGGAGCAGGAGCCCAGCGCGGAGTGGGCGGGGCCAGAGAACTGTGCGCAGCACTTGACTCCGCCCACATGCCCCGCCCCTCCATAGCCGGAGCCAAGCTCGGGGTGGGCGGGGCCGGAGCCGGAGCCCGGGGAGGAATGGGCGGGGCTGGAGGCGCCCGCCTTTTCCGACTTAGTCTTGGAATTCATACAGCTCCGATTCTGCGGCATTATGTTGGTTACAAGCGAGTCAGACGCCAGCCCAGCTTCAAGAGTGAGGGGGTTAGACTCCTCCAGCTTGATGGAAAGTGGCAAGGTCACATGTGGAAAGGCTTGTGGGAGGGGAAATACTGTTGTGACCATGTTGGGGAAATACAATCTGGTGCAGTATTCAATAACTATTAACTGATAATAATGATAATAATCTTTGGTCTCCATTCTACAGAATAAACTTAAGCTCAAAGAAATGGAGTATTTCTTATCCTCATACACTTTTCATGCCTGACCCCTTGTACATTTTTTGATTGAGACTAAAGCATCCAAAATCTTTCTAGATCTTTGCTATTTTAGGCAGAAAAGAGTTTAGCACAGGGAACTGGCGCTTGGAAGATCATTGGAAAAGCTGGAGGAGTGGGCACTAGGCTGGGCTCCCAGGACGCAGCAACCCCGGCCAGCCAGAGGAGCTGCTCCTCAGCCAACTGGGAAGGTGGGCATCAGGAGTCCCCAGGGGAATGAATGAATCCTAGAACACACTGCCATAGCTGTGATCCAGGGATCAGGAAACTGCCTTCCAGCTCCCACAAGACGGGTCACTGGACACTGGAAGGCGGGGTCAGGCTGCTACCTCTGCCACAGCTGCCTGTCCACACCCATGGGCTGGTGACTGGACACCTGAATTCTGCTGCAGAAAACCCCCACATGTCTGCAAACTTGTTCACCAGCAGCAAACAGCCCAAGCCACAGGAAGATGCCTCTGCCCCATTTCTACCTTCAAAATACTGTGCAAGTGCATCCAGCTGGCAGAAACTAATTTATATCCAGAAACCTAGCTGCAAAGGAGTCTGGGAAATTTTAGCTTTTCTGCCAAGAAAGTACACTGGAAAGAGATGGAAATCAACATGCCCAAATTCAGTACCTCAGCAAATTGAAACCCTTTCTGGAACCCCCACCCCTGCCCCAACCTTGAGAAGCCCCTTATATCTCATAGGCTAGCACTGTGTCACATGATCACTCTTAGCTGCAAGGGAGTCTGGAATTTGAGGATCTGGCAAAAGGAAACAGACTTGGCTTAGATGGGAGCAGGCACGTGTCTTCCTGAACACAATTAGGGTTTTGTTGGCACGGGGGTAGAGGAGGATGGCTGTGGGCCGGAGTGGTAACTCCCAGACGGTGCCACCGGGCTGTGTGTGGCGGTGAGTGTGAATAACACGGGGAGTGCATGTGTGCAGGTGGGAAGCAGCACACTCGAGTGTGCATATGTGAAGGGGTTGAGACTGAAGGGGGCCAAGGTGCTGAAGGAAGGAAGAAGGATTTTCCCTTCCAGTGGAGGAACCACTTATTCCCAGTTTCCAAGAGAACATAATATTAGTCTGCTCTGGGATCGAGGGCCTCAGATTACTTATTGTGGCTTGTTTCTATAGGAATGTGGGAGATAGATTCTGGAGCACACACAGAGGAACTGTTCAAATAGAAACTGGACAGTGTTTGGGACAAATTGCTGTTTTTCTCCCAATACCTGTTCTCTGACCATGCCTGAGCCTTCTTGAGGACAAGAGCATTTTTATTCCAATTCTCCTCTCTTTGTCAGATTCTGCAGTGACCGTTCCACCCAGAGGCCTCCCTCCTCCCTGATGCCTCCTCTCTTAGCACATGCCCCCTCCTCCTCCTTCTAGGAGAATCCTGAGCCCTGACTGATGGCCCCAGCCTACCTCTTGATTGCCCTGCATGCCACTGCCCACCTCCTTCTGCTTCTGTCCCTTTTCCCAAGGCAGACCCAACCACCCACACCCATACATCACTTCTTCCCTCCTCTCTGTTCATTTCCAGTCAACATTCACTGTTCTGAACACCTGCTGTGTGCCAGAGGCTGTGCTGGCAGCAGGTGATGCGGTGAAAGGAAGGCCTTGTTGATTCAAGGTTTGGTAGTTAGCATCATGGCTTTGGTAGGGACAGGCCTGGCTTAGACGTGGCTCTGCCCTGCCCCTTCACTGAGTCCTACTATCTAAGTCTCTGCTTCCTCTATTGGAAGAAGTGGGAGTAATAATCTCAAAGGGTCACTGTGAGGGTCAAGAGAACATGTTTCAGTGCTTATAGAACAGAGCCTGGCACAGAGTAAGGACGTGAGAAACGGAAATGTGGCTGGCATTTCTTTCTTTTTTGTCTGCCTAGCTCCTTCTTTCTACTGAAGAGTTCCCTCCTTCCCTACTGTAGTTTGGGTGAGGCTGTCAAATCTCAGTGCCCTGCCTGCCCTCTGGCCAGGGAATGGGCTCAGGATCCAGATCTTGCCCAAGTACCCCATGTCCCTGGTGTTGATAAAAATGGGGTTGTGCTGTGTATATGCATTATAATGACTTTTTCACTTAATCTGTCACTAATGTCTTTCCTGTTGAAACCATCATTGTGGAATATTATTGAAAAGCTACAGAGCATTCTATAGTATAGATGCACCATGACTTATTTAATCCAATCTCCTGGTAATGGATGTTATGGACTGAATGTTTGTGTCCCCCTCAAATTCATATGTCGAAGCACTAACCCTCAATGCGTTAGTATTTGGAGATGGGGCCTTTGGGAGGTAAACAGAGTTAGATTAGGTCATAAGGGTGGGGCCCTCATGATGCGATTAGTGCCATTATATGAAGTGCAAAGACACCAAAACTCTCTCTCTCTGCCATGTGAGGACTCAGCGAGAAGGCGATCAGCAAGCCAGGAAGAGGGGTCTCACCAGAACCGCACCATGCTGGCACCCTGGTCGTGGACTTCTAGCCTCCAGAACTGTGAGAAGTAACTTTCTCTTGTTTAAGCCCCTTAGTGTACGGTATTTTGTTACAGGAGTCCAGCAGACTAATATAGATTATAATGGATATATAGGTGATCTCCAATTTTTTTTCTGTGATAACTTGAACTTGATTGTCAAGTCTATTAGCCCTTTTTCCAGTCTCCATCATTCGCGACGTCTTGCTGCAGCAGATCCCATCGGTAACCCTCTCCTTGAAGCAGTCTCATCCATCCATTTACTGGCTCATTCAACAGGTACTTACTGGGTGCTGACTGTGTGTGTGGAGTTGCTTCTACCACACAGCGCCTACTGATTCTTCTCCCTCTGTGAACCAGGGTCTTGGGAGGCAAACAGGTCGGAGTTGAGTTCTGGGGCTCGCGACACTGGTTGTACAGGCCTGAGGAAGATACATAACCTCCTTGAACCACAGCTTTCTTTTTCTGTAATATGGGAATTAACAGCCTGTGCCTCTGTGGCTTCCTGAAAGAATGAAAAGCAATCCCATGTGTGCACGGCAGGCGTGGTATCAGTGCCCCAGAGGCTTCATCCCCTTCCCCCTTCCCTCCACCTGGACACAGGTGGCTTTGTGGGGCATTGTGAAGGAAGGAGGAGGGCAGAGGGGACTACGTGACTCCAGCCCCTGTGGACCGCTTCTGAGCTGGAAACCATGCAGGCCCGGGCTGTAGTCTCTTGTAAAGGGAGACAGGTGCATTCTCTCATTTGTTCAGCAACTATTCCTTCAGCATCCATGTCGTGCTTGGCTCTGTGACAGGCGCAAAGGGGGACAGAAGAAATACAGGTCAGGGCCCTAGTCGTCGAGATGACAAACACAAAAAGAACTCTCAAGCTCCTCCATTCCCAGGACATAGGACTGCCCCACCCCTTAAGCCAGAGTGGAGAATGTCAACAGTGGTGGCTGCCGCCACCTGCTTCAGAGTGACCCTGTTCTCCTCCTGGCCCGCCCCGTGGGAGCTCCATCCCTGTTTGAGCCTGCACTGACTTTGGATCATCATCTCTGCTTTTCTCTATCACTTTGGGGGAAGAATCGTGGCTAAAAGCAGGGGCCATGGGGGCAGACAGACCTGGATTTGATTCTGGCTTGGCCACTTACTAGCTGGCACCTTTGCAAGTCACTTCACCTCTACTCGTCACAGTCCTCATCTCTGAAATGCGGACAGTGATAGCAAACACCTTAGTTCCGTGTGAGGCTTACATTGGATAGCATCTTTAGAGTGTTTAGCCTAGCGCTGGCATATGGCAGGGGCTCAGGAAATGTGAGTTATTAAGAGGAATTCTGATTCCTCCTGCCCCAGGTTCCTGCCCAGTTGGGTTTTCTCTTCTTGTTTCCACAAATCAGGTGGAAGATTGGTCCAATGCTTTGGGACTAAAGGCATTTTATGGCTTGGGGCCAAGAGCTGGGGCTTTGGGGTCAGATTGCCTAGGAGTGTATCCCCACTTTACTGTGCACTTACTGTGTGACTGGGCAAGTCACTTTACATCTCTGAACCTCCGTTTTCTCATCTGTAAAATGGGGATAATAATAGTATCCACCTCGTGGGGTTGCTGTGAAGATTAAGAGAAATCATGCGCATAGGGTGCTGGGCAAGGGGCCTGGCAGACACGGTGTCCCCCTGAAAGCTAAATGAGTGACCATCATTGTTTCTCTGCATTCATTCATTCTGAGAAGAGGGTGAATGGTGTGGGCTTTGACTATGTCCGCTGAGAAGAGTAGCAGCTTGTTGGAGGCTGGGGGAGCTGATATGGCATTCCGAGAATCTCCTCTTGACTGCCTTTGAGATAGAAATGGATCACTTCCCAGTATTTAGGAAGGATCTGGATTAGATGGGACTATGATGTCTGAAGATTTTTTTTTTTTGCATAATGTCTGAAATGGTTGCTAATGAGAATGTCTGAAGTAGTTACTAATAGCCATTTAAAGAC